AAATGCTGAAAGATGCTTTTGAAATCTGGAGCTTGAAAGGTCAACAATTAAAATTGTTAAATGCTGAAAGATGCTTTTGAAATCTGGAGCTTGAAAGGTCAACAATTAAAATTGTTTTTTTTTTATTTATTACATTTCAAACTCCTGAAAAGAAGAAAGCTGAGGGGGGAAAAAAGAAATCATAATCTTAGAAGACAAACTCCTACCGTGACTTTCTGCCCAGCCTTCAGGACATACTTGGGTGTAAACTTATAGGTTGATGCAGCATTTCCAATGGTCTTCACCATCTCATACCCCACCATGGCTTGGTCCTGATGCAGACACAAAGTAAAATAAATCAGTAAAAATAAACCAGATTTGCAGACTCTAAGTTATGCAGCCTAAATCATCTAGAAGCTAGAATCCAGGAGCTTACTTCATCTCCAGTGTTGTACAGGCAGATGAACTTGCCGTCGGTGTCAATCTCATCAATACAGATAGGTCCTGTGGCTGAGGCAGAGTGAGCGATTGACACTGAGCTACTGGCCTCCTGCTCCTCTACATCAACACGCTTCCTCTTCCCATGAGAAGTCCGAATGCTGCGACTGCTGGACGAGGCTCGAGACACTGTGACACGAGATGAAGGACTCGGAGACAGTTTCAGTCTAGGGAAGGGAAATAAAGACCAGTTCGATTTTATTTATTTATTTATTTATTTTAGAAAAGCTGTCATTTTGAGCTTGTTACCGTTCTTCCTCTCCCTCCAGGAGTTTACGGTAAGCATTGATCTCCATGTCCAAGGCCAGTTTCACATCCAGCAGCTGCTCGTACTCGTTCAGCTGGTGCTGCATCTTGGCTTGAATCTCGGCCACCTCCCGGTCTTTGTCTGCTAGCAGTTTGCGGCTCGTGTCTTTCTCCTGCACCAAAGCTGCCTCAAGCTCTGCAATACGATCTCTCCACCCACGAGTCTGAACGTTTACAAAGACATCAGAATCTCAGGATCAGTTTGACACAGACAAGTCCAAGAGGACATTTTTGACACCCACCATTATAATTTCAAGTGCTCTTAAAGTGATCCACGATTAGTTGTAACATTAGACTTTATTTGATAAACATATTTTAACTGTAAAATAAAAACTGTAAAAATACTGTAGGCTGTTTAGTTTTGTAAATTTTTAAAAATACATTTTTACACAGATGGAGCCATTTTATTTACACACAAAGCATTCTGGGTAAATGATGACATGGACAGGTCCTCGGTGTGAGCGAGCTATATCCACCCTGAAGGTTAATCTTGGACAATATCTGATGATTGACTCTTTTAAATGAAACCAGAGAGCGTTGACAGAGAGGAGAAGGTAGAAATGACTCAGCCTGTAACTGAAAATATGGATGGAGGACAACAGAGCTGCTTCATGGAAGAAAAACCTCAGCTTAGCCTTTTAGCTTTAGCCCCGATGCTATCACCATAAATATGTATTAGCTCAGTGCTACACATTTTCCTCTCGTCACTGAGGTCCTCCATCCACATGACAGAGAGGAGAACGCAAAAATGACAGTCTGCAACTGAAAATATAGATGGAGGACCGCAGTTTAGCTTGTTTGTCGCGCTAGCACCGAGCTAATACATATAAGGCAATATAGTGTCGGCGCTAGCGCGAAGGCTAACAGGCTAAGCTGAGGTTCTTCTTCCATGAAGCAGCTCTGTTGTCCTCCATCTATATTTTCAGTTACAGGCTGAGTCATTTCTACCTTCTCCTCTCTGTCAACGCTCTCTGGTTTCATTTAAAAGAGTCGATCATCAGATTTTGTCCAAGATTAACCTTCAGGGTGGATATAGCTCGCTCACACCGAGGACCCATCCACGTCATCATTTACCCAGAATGCTTTGTGTGTAAATAAAATGGTCCCGTCCATGTAATATAGTTTTAAACTTTTAGTTTAGGAATTATAAAAACTAAACAGCCTACAGTATGTTACAGTCTTTATTTTACAGTTAAAATATACACTCACCGGCCACTTTATTAGGTACACCTGTCCAACTGCTCGTTAACACTTAATTTCTAATCAGCCAATCACATGGCGGCAACTCAGTGCATTTAGGCATGTAGACATGGTCAAGACAATCTCCTGCAGTTCAAACCGAGCATCAGTATGGGGAAGAAAGGTGATTTGAGTGCCTTTGAACGTGGCATGGTTGTTGGTGCCAGAAGGGCTGGTCTGAGTATTTCAGAAACTGCTGATCTACTGGGATTTTCACGCACAACCATCTCTAGGGTTTACAGAGAATGGTCCGAAAAAGAAAAAAACATCCAGTGAGCGGCAGTCCTGTGGGCGGAAATGCCTTGTTGATGCCAGAGGTCAGAGGAGAATGGGCAGACTGGTTCGAGCTGATAGAAAGGCAACAGTGACTCAAATAACCACCCGTTACAACCAAGGTAGGCAGAAGAGCATCTCTGAACACACAACATGTCGAACTTTGAGGCAGATGGGCTTCAGCAGCAGAAGACCACACCGGGTGCCACTCCTTTCAGCTAAGAACAGGAAACTGAGGCTACAATTTGCACAAGCTCATCGAAATTGGACAAGAGAAGATTGGAAAAACGTTGCCTGGTCTGATGAGTCTCGATTTCTGCTGCGACATTCGGATGGTAGGGTCAGAATTTGGCATCAACAACATGAAAGCATGGATCCATCCTGCCTTGTATCAACGGTTCAGGCTGGTGGTGGTGGTGTCATGGTGTGGGGAATCTTTTCTTGGCACTCTTTGGGCCCCTTGGTACCAATTGAGCATCGTTGCAACGCCACAGCCTACCTGAGTATTGTTGCTGACCATGTCCATCCCTTTATAACCACAATGTACCCAACATCTGATGGCTACTTTCAGCAGGATAATGCGCCATGTCATAAAGCTGGAATCATCTCAGACTGGTTTCTTGAACATGACAATGAGTTCACTGTACTCAAATGGCCTCCACAGTCACCAGATCTCAATCCAATAGAGCATCTTTGGGATGTGGTGGAACGGGAGATTCGCATCATAGATGTGCAGCCGACAAATCTGCGGCAACTGTGTGATGCCATCATGTCAATATGGACCAAAATCTCTGAGGAATGCTTCCAGCACCTTGTTGAATCTATGCCACGAAGAATTGAGGCAGTTCTGAAGGCAAGGTCCAACCCGTTACTAGCGTGGTGTACCTAATAAAGTGGCCGGTGAGTGTATGTTTATCAAATAAAGTCTAATGTTACAACTAATCGGGGATCCCTTTAAAGGGTTACTGCCGTGGAATACAATGGTTATATGTTGCTTTGCATTTGGGTTCTTAAAAACAAACCAACTAATCAAGGAAACACTTGAGGGCACGGCTGATGATGATATGTCAGGGTTTGAGCACAGGCTGGAGTGAGGTGCTTTGTGCACTTTTACCCCCTCCCCCGCTTTCATCTTCTGAAACAGATCATAGATCTCCTATCCCCTCATCAAAGTCCTCACTCTGTTTCTTTTTTTATCTCTGCCTCTGTCTGGGAAGGATCTGTGGCTCCAACCATTTCTGGGTCTACGGCTCCATCCTCTACTACAAACAGTTGCTGCAGCTTCACATTGAAAAGTGGACTCATTGATTTGACTGACACTAAAACTGACTAAACTAATTTATAAAAACTGTTTTTAAAACCAGTTTAATTTACTTTTCAAAAGTTGCCACAGAGCATAGTTATTCATTTATTTCTTTCATTTTTTGCTGGATATGCAACATGAACAAATGGTGGGTGTTGGGAGTTTAAAAGAACTTCATCTAAACAATAATGCTGACTGGCTTGAAACACTTTAGTCTCTTACACACTTTCAGGTCTGGCCTGAATTTATAGGTTTATCCACTGCTTTACTGTCGCTAAGCCAGCAAGAGAGGAAGTCAACAAGCTGAGTTGCTCTCACACTACAGGTTTCAAGTGTGAAAGCACAAGTTGTTTTAAGATGCAGCCAGTTTGATAGCATCATGTGTGAACAACCAAAGGAGCTGCTTCTTGCATCTATACACTAGAATTGTAGTGATTAAATGAGGAGCACCAATTGCGGTTTTCAGACCGAACACTGATCTTTAAAAAGTCTGACCTGCCGATTTTGATTTTGGCCGATAACGTTTTTTTAAATAGCTGACACTGTCAGGTGTTAGAAGGTCACAAAACATCTTCAATATCAGTGTTTCCATTGCAAATGTGCGCAAAACTTTGTCGATATTCTGTTAATGTTGAAAAACACAATTACGCAAATGTGGTGTTTCTATTAAGTAAGAAATGCTATTAAAGTCACGCATGAATACGTTTGTTCTCGTGATAAGTCATTACAAACATGGCGGCAATGGATGTAAACACATAGCATGTTGCTACCACGACACTAGCACTCATCATCAGAGGAGATGTCAGCATCTTAAGGGCTCGACACACGGGAGGCGACGTCGCTCACTCTCCATTCATTTCCTATGGAGCCTGTGCGGTGAGGCGACAATCGCTTGCCCTCCTCCAGCTAAGCGACCGGCGAAAATAGTGCATGTGAAATTTCACGCTCGTACATGTAGACGTGCACACGCGAGTTTGCGACGCGACATATGAAAGTTGAAAAATGTTCAACTTTTGTCGCTGTCACTTAGCGTACAACCAATCAGCGAGGGTTTCATTGACTGACCAATGAGAGGAGAGTATGCTACACACTGCAGTTAGCTAACATGTTCACCAAGTGATTACTAAAAAGCTTTGTGGGAATTTATTGGCACCAGGGTGAAGTTTATGGTAAGTTTTTCCTCATAAAACTGTATCTTGATGTGTGTTTGTTTTTCWATATCATTAGCATCGCAAGATTTGTTTAGTTTACACGTCCGTAATGCACACCCGCCTTCAGAGTCAAGAACCAATCAAATTTTGTGAAGACAAGCAATCTGAGAGCGCGATTCACAACGCTGCAATCGCTATCGTGTACCGTGTGTCGGGTTTCACCCTGACTGCAATGACAGCCGTTAATCGCTGTAGTTTGTCGCTGCCCGTGTGTCGAGCCCTTTATGGTGGCTTTCCAGCGACAAGCCCCCAATACCTGGGAGCAGCTACGTATGCGGCATTTTTGGGAAATTGTAGTCGGTGAGTTTACTTTCTTTTACAACTTCAGTGATTTTACTACTACTTCTACTTCCTGTTGTCGTCTTTTTCGCCAGTAGAAACAGACGGTTCTGGATCAAGGGCCTCGTGATGCGAAAAAAGTGTTTCCATTGCAGTTTTGCCAAACACACCAATTTCAGTACGGCCGAAAAACCACCTCATCCTAGTGCAAAAACATTTTGTCAAAAAAGTTTTCGAAACTGACATGTTTCCATTGAGCAAATTTGTTTTCGAAATTCTAATTTTCGCATTTTCATGGTCAATGGAAACGCAGCTAATGTTCCTATCTTATTTTATAGAAAACCACTGAACAATACCCTTGAAACTAAAAGCTTGTTTTAAATGGACATTAGGTAGTGCTCACAGCAGAGTAAAAGGGGACAGTGGTTGATTTTCAGACCTTTGTGGAGGTAGTTGACAAGCTGATCTTTTCCACTGGTATCAAAGAATCGACCGATCTCAGAACTCTCAAATTTAAGGAAATTGGTGCACCACTTGTGATTAAGCAATGTCTTTAGATATTTACTGTTGGCAAAAGTAAAGCCAGAAACATTTAAACAGATATCAGCTGAAAGGTGTAACAAATACATAATCACATTTTCATTATTATGTTTAATGTTTTAGAATGCAACTATGAATACTACAGTAGAAAAATGTCCATATAAAAGAAACAGGTTTTTGTGGATTGCACTTTTGATTGAATATAAATTACAGTATTTGTGTTATTCAAATTAGAATAATAAAAATGTGATTCTTTGCTTCGATGATGGAATATTACTTAAGCATATCTGTAGCATAACTGAATAGGTGACACCTTGTATTTATTTTATCGGTCACAGCTCTGCTCTCCATTTTGCAGATTGTGTGGGCTCAGTGTTGAGAAAAAAAAGGAGTTCAGCAGATATCAATTCAGCCACAATATCATAGAAGAAAAAAATTAAATGAAGTAATAGTAGTTTCTAAATTCTGCCAAAATTGAGTCCTGGTTTTAAAATTCTAAACAAACTGAAATTAAGGTACACAAAAAAATACATATTTAATAAGTTTTGTGTTTGAACTTGTATATAATTGATGAGTTATGATTTGGTCAAATGCCACTTCAAAGAAATCATCTGATCCAGACAGGAAATTCTTTTTTTTAAACACCACTATAAAACACATTCTCAAATCTCTTCAAAACAAATAGAAACTTGATAAGATAAGACTCTACCTCCTTCTGTAATCCTGTCAGCTGGGCAGTGAGGCTCTCAATCCTCAGGGCAGACGCTCTGAGATCCTCTCGGGCCATGTTGGCCGACGCTCCGTTCATCTCAGATAAACGTTGCAAGTCTTCCAGCTGAGGACAACAAAGTTAAAACATCAGTGTCATCAACTCAGCGTTGTCTTCACAGTTTAAAAAGAGGAACGGAGACGTGCAAGCCACTTCCTGATGAGCAGGAAGTTCGTGAAGTCTTGTTTGGTTTTACACTTGCATCTTGCAGTTTTACTTCAGATTGTAATTAACTTGCATAACTGTAGGTGAAGCTTACTTAAACAGGTCTTTCAACATATTGGAGATAGCATAGAGCAAGTAGTGTCAAAAAATCTGATCATCCTATTCTAAAAAAAATAACTTTTTTCATATTTAATACAATAAACAAAAGGCCAGAAATGTGAAAGTGCAACACCAAACCTGAACCTGTAGGCCTCTGCCAACCAGTCACAATACTCATAGATCTATTGCTATTGATAATGTACAAAGGTGAACATGTCTTTTTAGACACATTAACTCATTTGATGTAACATCTGGCATGTGAGATATTTATTGATCATGAGTAGAGTAACACAGACATCATTGTTTTTCTTTCAACTATGTCCTTCTCAGTGTTGTTTTAAGCTGGATGCCCTTTGAACCTGCAGTATTAGAATTAGACCATAGAACTGACCCCTGAGCTACAGCAGCCCTGAGACAAATGTCATAATATTTACTCACAATACTACTTCGTGACATTTGCTCATCACCATAGCAAGGTATATGCAAGAACTGCATGAAAAAAGGTGTACAGAGATAGGTGTTGATCTTTAGTTATACTGAGTTTTCAAAGAGGAACTGATAACATCTGTTCATCTAATTTTAGCCCTAGTTCCAGCTAAATTATTACTGATCACATTTAACAATTTACCATGAACTGAAACACTAAATCTTAACTGAATGGGATAAAATCTCTGGAAACTCCCCATCTAATAATGCCAACTGCTCCATTTGAAGTAGTTCCAATCTTTAAAAAAAACAACAACAACAATTAAAGAGTGTGTGTTTGCAGACCTCCCTTAAACTGTAGGAACAACACTGACTCATATCTGGTTGTTTTACTTGTTTCTGATAAAACCTACTGAGGTATTTCATGAAATGTACAAGTGACTGGTCAGGAATTACACATACAGGTTCTATATTAAGGAGGCGTGTCTGGACTAATGCTCACAAAAGAAATCCAGTGTTAAAATTACACTTTACCTCCACTGTTACAGTTTATACACAGGCATGCTCATACACTTGGATTTTTCCACCTAAAAAGGACTTATGTTTTCATACTCCGTGTGTGGACACACATTTGCTACGCTGTGGGGAAACTCCAATCCCCATCAGTACATATGCCATTTGTGAGTTAGGGGTTATATTTAGGACTAAGGTGTGCATTGAGATTAGGCTGGGGTTAGGCATGTATAGGTAATGGTTAGATTAAGGGTAAAGGTCAATGTTAGGATACAGGAATGACTGGAAAATGACTGGAAGTCAAAGCAAAGTCCCCACGAGGACAGAAAAACCAACGTGTCATACTTTGGTTTTATAGGTGCTCTCCAAGTTGTCCTTATAGATCTTGATCTGCTCCTCATTCTGAGTCCTCATGTCAACCAGTGCCTGTGTCAGTTTATATTCGTACTCTTCCTTCCGTCCAGAATCCACCTCCACCAGTCGGGTTTCGTAGCGATGCCGGGCCTCCTTCACTTCCTACAGCACAACGTGGTTAAACAATGTTAAAAAAACAACACTTTTCCTCACCAAAGCAGTGTGCCGTCTCCTTTACCACTAACACTTGCCCATGACTTCAGAAGTCATATCCTCACCTCTGCGTGCATGCTCTTTCGGAAGTCCAGTTCCTCTGTCAGACTTTGACAGCGGTTTTCCAAGTCAATACGCAAAAGCATCTCGTCTGCAAGCTGCTTCTTGGCTTGAGCAAGACCTGTTTCTAACTAACATCACAGACAAAAATAAGTTAGTAGTGTGACAATTATGTTGAAAAAAAAAATTATATTTTCAAACAAGAGAACATTTAATTGAAAGTATTGTTACATCCTGAAGCTGTTCTTGCAGTTCAGCCAGTGTTGCTTCAAGGCCTCTCTTCTCAGACAGCGCTGTAGCTAATGTGGCTTCTTTGGAGTTTAGCTGAGCCTCCAAGTCCTTCAGTCTGGCCTGGGCTGCTGCTGCTTCAGTGTCCTTCTTGTTATAGCTGGTAAGAGGATAAAACGTTGTGATAAATAAACGCTATGGGCAAACAAAATCAAATTGTTAAAATCAATTAATATTTCAGTTTCATTCATGAAATGCCTACCCTTCTTTTTAGTGGCAAGCTAAATATTATTAGCAGGAGGTTCAAATGTTTAAGGAGTAGGAGGCTAGTCAGAAAAAGTAGGGGCCTGACTATCTACAGGGCAAAGTCCAGGTGAGTGCAGAAGGTACAAGGCAATCAATCAAGGGGGTCTGGGGGCCTTCCCCAAGAAGAAAATTTTAATTTAGAACAGCAGCAATGTATTTTCTGGTATTTGGAACAATGACTTGGGGGTGGGGGGGTTGAGGATTCTAAAATCAGCCATTTTTGAGGACAATGTGACTATTTATATTATGTGTTACGGTGTCCTGCATGTTTTAGGAGCTGCCCTGGTTCAACACAGCTGAACCTATGGAGTGCTTAATTAGTAGGCCTTTCAGTAAGCCATCAAGGCATAACAAAAAGTGTGAAACAACTGAAAACATGTCTTGTATTCTAGGTTCCTCAAAGTAGTCACCTTTTGCTTTGATTACTGCCTCACACACTCGACATTCTCTTGATGAGCTTCAAGAGGTAGTCATCTGAAATGGTTTTCCAACAGTCTTGAAGGAGTTCCCAGAGATGCTTAGCACTTGTTTGTCTTCACTCTGCGGTCCAGCTCACCCAAAACCATCTGGATTGGATTCAGGTCCGGTGACTGTGGAGGCCAGGTCATCTGGCACAGCACCCCATCACTCTCCTTCTTGGTCAAATAGCCCTTACACAGCCTGGAGGTGTGTTTGGGGTCACTGTTCTGTTGAAAAATAAATGATGGTCCAACTAAAGGCAAACCGGATAGCATGCTGCTGTAAGATGCTGTGGCAGCCATGCTGGTTCAGTGTGCCTTCAATTCTGAATAAATCCCAACAATGTCACCAGCAAAGCACCCCCACACCATCACACCTCCTCCTCCATGCTTCACAGTGGGAACCAGGCATGTAGAGTCCATCCGTTCACCTTTTCTGCATCGCACAAAGATAGAGTGTTTGGAACCAAAGATCTCAAATTTGGACTCATCAGACCAAAGCACAGATTTCCACTGGTCTAATGTCCATTCCTCGTGTTCTTTAACCCAAACAAGTCTCTTCTGTTTGTTGCCTGTCCTTAGCAGTGGTTTCACACAGTCTCCTCTTAACAGTTGTTCTAGAGATGTGTCTGCTGCTAGAACTCTGTGTGGCATTGACCTGTTCTCTAATCTAAGCTGCTGTTAATCTGCCATTTCTGAGGCTGGTGACTCGGATGAACATATCTGCAGAAGAGGTGACTTTTGGTCTTCCTTTCCTGGGGCGGTCCTCATGTGAGCCAGTTTCTTTGTAGTTGATGGTTTTTGTGACTGGACTTGGGGACACTTTCAAAGTTTTCCCAGTTTTTCAAACTGACTGACCTTTATTTTTTAAAGTAATGATGGCCACTCGTTTTTCTTCGACATATTTTCAGTTGTTTCACACTTTTTTGTTAAGTATATAATTCCACATGTGTTAATTCATAGTTTTGATGCCTTCCATGTAAATCTACAATTTCCATAGTCATGAAAATAAAGAAAACTCTTTCAATGAGAAGTTGTGTCCAAACTTTTGGTCTGTACTGTATATTAGGGGTGTAAGAAAATATCGATACACTGAAATATCGCGATATTTCATTTCCCGATACTGTATCGATATTCTAAAGCCCTGTATCGATTTTTAATTAAGTTTTAAAATATCAACCTTCTTGCCAACTGTTCATTTTTATGTTGTAGTTCAGCCTCTGACCACTAGTTGGCAGCAGTGAGCCAGACATTTGGCTCCTCTACCTCTTGAGCGCCAGAGAGTAAGGG